GAAGTGAAGACAATAGGAAAGTGATGGATTTGGAAGAAAATAGGAGTCAGTGACAGGAAGTGCTGTAGAGGTATGAGAACAGGTGGAAGTAACAGGAGGAGACACTGTTACTATAGTGGACACTAGTGACTGGCCTAAACCTATTGTGTTACTTAGGTTTTCAGACACTGTCCATATGTGGTTCATTAAGGTTCCGTGTTTTACCTGTTCACTCCTTTTGGCCAGTTCACTATTTATAAGCACCTATGTTTTAAGGTAGAACCCAGAAATCATAGCTGATAAAAATAATCATCACTATCAGTGGTTCTGGAGGAAAAAATTAAATATGTAAAATTTTTCAGTTACCTATAGGCTATTCTTTTCTGTGCTTGTGCTGCTACTCATTCAAAGTATGAGCTGCCAGGTATAACTTACACAGGGAGGTGAGCATCACTGCCTACATTGGAACCCCCTTCCTAGTCCACTCCTATCCTCACCTCTTTCCAAATTCTCCTAAATTTCCTCAGCAACCTGTCACTAAAACATGAAATTCCATAATTTCAGATAAGTTGGAATATTGTCCCTTGCTTAAATACAAATGCTCTTGGGAGGGGCAGTATGTTAAGCCTTTATCAATCATTAAGACATTTGTGGTAAAGCATTTGGTCTGTGTTACCAGTAGGCTAGTTTGCCAAGATCAGATTTTTATATCCCCAGGGGAAAGTAGAGCAAGAGATCCACGTCAGTGGTAGGGATTGGGCAGGCCAGATCACAATACCTAGAGCTGACAGGAGAGCCCCAGGAGAGGAAGAGAACATTGTGAGTAGGAGGAAAACTTAACTCAGAGATGGGAGAAGGCAATAGCAAATGTTAATTTCACCATTTTTGCTCAAGTTCAACCCTATATAGGAAAATCCTCTCTATGGCCAAGTTGCCAATACTTCGCATGATTTGCTCTGACAGATCCTGGTGGGTGTGTATGTGCCTCTGCTTTACAATCCCTGTGTTTCAGATTTTCTGTGGCACAGCTTTTACATGTAGTGATGACATGCCTTATAATCATCCTCATTGTGGCAGCCGACATGCTCAGACTGGCGGTGCTAAATCACTCAACAGTGTCTGGATCTGTAGGTGATGAGTGTCAAAAGCCTTTTTAGTTAAGATCCTCCACTTAACGGGGTAGGACTCATTAAAACTTCCTTTTGTGTGTTATGATACACAGGTGAGATCCTGAGAGGCATGTGGGGTGCTACAGTTCCTAGTTGGATTTCCTTTTTCCTATTGTGTCTGTCTTTTGTTTGGGTGGATTGGTTACCTAGGAAACCGCTTCAGGGTAAAGATGGATTGGCTGTTTGGGGAATGGAATTACAGGCCACTGCTAGAAGCAAAAGACCTGTTGGATAAAACAAAAATTAGTGAATGGCTGAGCTTGTGCTTAATTAGTGTGCTTCAAGGAAATCACACTGAGTAAGACACTACAGGAGAACCTATTTAATGCAGCGTGATTTTAAATTTAGGTTGTTTCTAATTCGTTTAAGTTCACCAAATGCTCATTAATTCCTGCTTTGTGCATACTGCTGCAGGCCATTCTGGGGGTTTCCAATGAAGTAGAGGTTCAGTTCCCTCCTGAAAAGCTCATTTTCTGTTTAGGTTAAAAAGAAGCTACCTTAAAATCAAGTGGACGATTGTGTGATACATGACTAAAGGTGTTCAGAGAATTTGGAGGATGTAAAAGATCTTGGCTAGTCAGAGGATGGATTTGAACCTAAAGGCAGGAGGTAATTCTTTGAGGTAAAAGATGAAATTTAAAGACCTGGTGAAAGTTTGGGTACTAACAGTACCTGAATTTACAAGATGTAATAGTAGCAGTACAATTTCCTTTGCAGATCCCTCCCCCCAGATAGCTTATGGAAAATACGTGACTATTATATACAGTATTTTGACCTAGAGTCTTACTCAAAAAATGGATTTTAGCAACAATGTTGACCAACCACTGTTTGCAGTAGCCCTTGTATAATTTTTTAAGGAAAGTCTCTTTTCATTGAAAGTGTGACAGAGTATTAGTTTTGGAATCTCTGACCACTACAGCAATGCTGAGCACATGAGAGACATTCGATAAATATATGCAAATTGATTTTCTTATATACAATATACCTTCTGGTCGTCAGTTAGCATTAGCTTTCTTTTCTTCCAGAATGTAACTGCTGAATATTTGGTCTTGATTTGTGGTGATAAAGACTTTTGTAAATACCGGAGCATAACTCTTCTTTTAAAGCTGAACATCTGTCAGGTTATTTCCAACCTGACAGGTTTGCAGAAGGTATAGCTATAATTTTAATTTTCTTGTTCTATTTGTATTCATTTGGTGTGGTATGCCAGTCAGGAGAGGAGGAAAAAGCAGTCCTACTCAGAAAGCTTAACAGTCTAAGGCACAGAAGGTTAAGTTCAATTTGAGCCCTAATGCTCCTCGCCACGTCTATAAATGGAAAGTAAGAGAGGCAACATAAGGATACTCAGAAATATCTTGGAGAGATATTTTAGTTATGATTTACTGAACCTACAATTTTAAATATTTGCCAGCAAAAGAAGTAATTCTCAAATATAAATCTGTCCACTAGCTATATAGAGTTACCAATGAAACTTTGCATTTTAAATTAAGTTGTGAAGGAAGCTGCTGCTATAATCAGAATCCACAATATTGCATTTTTTCAGAAGGTCTTTTATTGCCTATTGTCTATTCTTATTGCAGTTACAGCTTTTATAAATGGGATAGTGACTACAGAGGATAATTTGTTAGAGGTCTTTTGCTGAATAATCAGGAATAGTTTCCTGTTAGAAGATCTTGAGCACTGCTGTGAATGCCTTCTTTATTTCCAAAATTATAATAAAATGCTTTATCATAATGAGACACCCCTCTTCCCCAAGTTTTCTCTTCACGGAAGCTTTTTAGTGTTTCAATTTAAGAACTTTTAGGCAATTTCCTGGTGCTTGCTTACCCCGACCCTCTCCTTTTTTCTGGTTTCAAGAAATTACCTTTAAAGTGATACTTTAAAGGTTAGCAATTGAGTGTCAAAAACTTGCAACTGATTTACTTCTCTTTGGCCTGTGAAGTCACTCAGCTCCAAGCAGCAGCTAGAAGGAGGGATGGCGTGTGGCATTATTGTGAGGGTTTGCTCACTTTCTGTTCCTCTCCCACTTCCCATCTGCCTCTCTCCTACCGGGATGATTCCATAATTATAATGCTGTTTGCACCTGTATGGAGATCACAAAGTGGGCCTAATTACTAGATGATTTGAGAGAAAAAGGTGCACCTTGGTTATCTTCTTCCACTTTACCAAAAGAGCTGTAGTCAGAGTTAGCATTAGAGAAAAAAAAAAATGACAACTTAATTTTGAGATCAGAACTGATTTTTCACTTCAATTTCTAAAAATGTATCAATGGCAAAACACAAGTTGCAGGAAAGCCACCTCCCTCCAACAGCCCCACCTACCCACACATATATCCACAGACATAGATCCAGCCCTGGTCTGTCTGCTCCCACCAAGGCACAGCTTCCTAGAGTGCTCTAGGAATTTTACTGACTGTCCTTAAAAAAGGCACTGATGTTCATGGCAAGTGCTGTAATTTTGAGGTTAATGTCTTGTTATTGTTGTTCATAATAAGAAAATGATTAAGACGGAAAAAAGATACAGAAATCTATTATGTTTTCAGTGGCTCCAGAAATTTCTTTTCTTGTACTTTTGGGAACTGTTTTCCCATTTGCAGTTGCTCTTAAAGGGGGAAGCAAGCAGTTTTTACTCAAAAGTAATATTTTAATTGTTCTTCTTAGTGGGGAAGAGGATAAAATAATTAGTCTTTCACCTTCCTTATCTAGGTTTCTGTAAGTTAATTTACCCCAAATTTGATATAGGGGTTCCTTGGGTTTGACATGAGAGCATGTTTATGTAAAAATAGCACTTATGTTTCACAAAAATTATTTTCATGTTATTTAAATGGGAGAGGGGGCACTTTAAAAATTACCACTGGGGCTGGCCTGGTGGCATAGTGGTTAAGTTTGTGCGCTCCACTTCAGTGGCCTGGGGTTCGCGGGTTCAGATCCCATGTGCGGACCTATGCACTGCTCATCAAACCCATGCTGTGGCAGGCATCCCACATATAAAATAGAGGAAGATGGGCACGGATGTTAGCCCAGGGCCAATCTTCCTCAGCAAAAAGAGGAAGATTGGCAAGAGATGTTAGCTCAGGGCTAATCTTCCTCACCAAAAAAGATAAGTAAATAAAATAAAATAAAAATTACCACTGATGCCTTTATGCTTTTCTGCTGAAGCATGCTAGTAGTGGTTTGGCAATGTAAACATCTGTACATTGTACAAAAATTGTTGAACTTACCAAATGGGGGGAACCTACTAGTTTTTCCAACATATTCTTGAATTTAATGGAAAAGTACCTATATTGAAATATTCTCAGAAATTTAAACTTTAATCAAATATATTGGTTCTAGTATTTAATCCATTATTTAATTTTATTTATATAATTAGATATATTTCAAGTTTGCCTTCAATTTCTTGAAAAATGTTTTTCTCCTCCACCAAAATAAAATAATATATGTTGAGTCTTGGATCTGGGAATAGAAAAGTTCCAGTTCTTTCTGCTAGTATGTAAGCTCAGCAAGAGCAGGAACTTCATCTGTCTCATTCACTGTTACTTCCTAGTGCCTAGAACAGTGCCTGACACGAGTACTCAGAAAGTATTTGTTTAATGAATGACTGAATGAACTGCCTTTTGTGGCTTTTGTGAGCTTTTTGTTTTGTTTTTTTTAACAAGTTCACTTTGTATGTTAAGCCAGGTATTACTACATTGTGAACTACAGCAGAATGCTGAGGAGTAGGACTCAGTGGAATTAAGTGCTTGAATGACCCACATGGAGAGAAATAAGATTTAAGGACTAAAGGGGTATTGGTGGGAATACTCCCTGGGTATGCCAAACCCACTAAAATATTCCCACCTTTTCATCTCTCCAGGAGCACTCACTGTGGGCCTTGTGCGACAGTGTCAAACAATCCACGGACGAGACCGGACGTGCATTCCACCTCGGCTTCCCCCAGAGTGGGTCACCACACTGTTTTTTATCATCATGGGAATCATTTCATTGACTGTCACATGTGGTTTGCTGGTGGCTTCCCACTGGCGAAGAGAAGCTACAAAATATGCTCGATGGATAGCATTCACTGGAAGTAAGTAACCTGTGCTTACTAAATTTGTCTAGAAGGCACTCACACTAGTATTTTTATGAAGATAATCAAGAATCAGTAATAAGGACTCCATAACCATCAAAGAGCACCACTTGCATATGGCCGTCAGACTCGACGCAGTCCCATCAGTTCTTCAGAATTCTCAACCCAAGACCAGAACATCCAAAACCTTAATTGCTTTGTATGAAATGCTATTTTAATGAATTTGTTTTTCCTCCTATTGTGATATAAGTGTTCCAGGTCTGTGACTCAGAGCTACCACTAACTTGAGTCTTTTCCTCTTCTTGAAGATATTGGTATCTTCTATCAAATAAAGATAAATCTAGAAGAAAATATACAGAAATATAATTTAGATTAAGGTGGTGATTTGCTTTTTAATATCCTAGATTTTGAGTTTCTACTGTGAGTTGTTGTGTGACCGTTGAAAAATCAACACATTTGGTTATTTAATAATTGTTTATCAACATTTTTTACTCCATTAAGCTATGCCCAAGGGTATGATATATTTATATATTACATATTTTCTTGTACTTTGCAAAACTGGTTTAATTTCAAAACACATCAGAGGCTTTTCCCAAGTTAAAAGCAACAAAAATGCACAAAGGAAAGATATTTCTGTAATTCTGCTTTCTTCTTTCTCTCTAAAGCAGTTTTGCCCCCCAGGGGACATTTATCAATGTCTGGAAACATTTCTGATTGTCACAACTAGGGGGATGCTACTGGCATGGAATGAGTAGAGGCCAGGGATTCTGCTAAACATCCTGCAGTGCACAGGACAGCCCCCCACAACAAAGACTCACCTGTCCCAAAATGGCAATAGGGCCCTATTGAGAAACCCTGCTCTAAAGAACGGGATAACAATACCTATACCAAATACTATGGGATTTAACTTCTGATTCAATGCTTTATAATCATCTCAGGTTAGCATAAGTTTTAAAAAATAAATATTATAACACAGCTTACTTTCACTTGATGTTTTCATTTAGAATTTGTATGATAGGGGTAAGGCATATCCCATGTATCAGTATTAATGTTAAAACTCAATTTATCCTTTAAGACCATAGATAGGGATATTAGTTCATGAGTCTCTGTTTCTCCCTATCTCTCTGTGAAGCTCTTTCTCTTTAATGTATATGTTTCTGGCTTTGTTGTTTTATTTTTCTCTCTTTATACCCCTTAATTTTAAAATTTAGAGCAAGTTGCCTGTGACATAAAAAGTCTTGCATTCTTCTTAAGAAATGTGAAATAAGTTGATGATCTTGTTTGAGGTCAGAGCTCCCGAAACATTTCTTTTCTAAATAGTAGAGTTCAGAGGCAGTTGTAGAGACAGTGCTACTAAATTAAAGGGTATTGATGAGGAATTTAAAGAGAATCTTTGCTCACAGATAAAATTACCTATCCAGATAGAATTTACTCTTTAAGGAGTAAAATAAAATCATAGAAGGATTTAGTTGGAATTTGGGAATGCATATGCTCTGAAATCTAAAATATAATTTAGCAAAGTATTAGGAGTCAAAGAAAGCATTAGTATGCTTACATGAGCCATTGGTTCTTGTGACCCAATAAAGGGAAAGAACTAGGATTATCTTGTTTTTCATTCCCCTTCAGAGAATATTTAAGTGTATGTAGCTACCTCCAAATGCAATGTGTTTTTCTTTTATTTTTTAGTTAAATAATTTAACTTTTAAAAATAATATGTGCATATGATACATAATTCAAAGCCTATGAAAGGATCACCAAGTGAAAAGTAAGTCTCATCTGTGGCCCTGTCACCCAGCCATCCAATACCTCTTTCCTGGAAGCAAACACTGTTACTAGTTTCTGGGATTCCTATCAGAGGTGTTCTATGCACAGAAACATATATGTATGTGTGTGAGTGGTAAATAAATTTATATTTATTCTATTTATGCTATTCTTTACCTTTGTTTTTTAGCTCAACAGTATACCTTGGAGTTAATGTCCTCTAAGTAAGCATAGAGCTGCATTACTCTTCTTAGCTTCCTTAATACCTTGTTTTTATTGCAGGAGCTAGTCTGCTGGGGTGGCAGTCCTGAGAGGGATTGGGCTCCCCCTAGTGTTTCCATTCAGCCTTTGAAAATGTACTTCATCTCTTTTGTATTAATTTCTATTCCAGTTAAGCTGTAGTTTTGGTAAGAAGGTAAGGGTAACATTTTCTTATGGGTTTACCCAGTGGGGAAATAGCTCTCAGAAGAGAGCCACACATGATGGGCTTGCCTATGGAGGCCAGGGTGACAAAGATGTGTCTTTTTCTTTAAATCTGACTTTTGTCCTTTCCTTTGCTACCCTGGTTTACATCCTCATCTACCAGGGCACCCAGTATCTGACTCTCACCACCAAGAAGTCTGTGCCATGGAGGATATGAAGTTATGTATTTACAGGCTTATTTAGGACCTAGAACTTAATTGTCAAAAATTGATAGATATTGTCAGCATTAATAATATCTTAAGATCTAAAGTAACTTCACAGGTCTTAATAGCTTAGAAGAAAACTCATCCACCTACACGAAATCTCCCCTGGAATTATAGAGAACCTAATTCCTTGGAGTAGAAACCAAGATTAGATTGAATAGAAGTTCATTGCTTCCTTGAAATTTGATTAAGCTTTTCCTAACCAATTTGGAAAATATTTAATTCTTATAAAATATTAAACTCTACTTTAAATGTAGTCATTAAATGATTACTCCATTATAAAGGATAGATTTTTATTTTACAGTAGAAAATAGCAAAGAATAAAGTTGGCAAATCAGTTAACAGAATGAACAACTACAGTATCTGCGTATCTCTGAAGCACTTCTAAATTATTTTAGTATTTCTTAAGATTAGTCAACATTAAGAAACAAATTATTTTTAAAACAATAATCATATCACATTGTTTTTTATTAGATTGTGAATAGCTACTTAGATTGTAGTTTCTTTTTACTTACCAAACCATATTAAGACATAAGAACCATTAGAAATTGGTGACAGATAACACTAATAAGTGGGCATTGGCAGCGCTAATAAAATTATTTATTGCTGACTATACAAAAGAAAGGCCAAAAGGTCTAACACTTAACTAAATTTTTCATTTGTTCTGTAGTAAGTATCCAAGAGAATCCAAATGCACTTATGTAACATTATTTGGTGTGGTCGTTTGCCCAAAATGAAATAGGCTCTATGTCTGTATAATATAAAGTAATCCACCTAAATGGTGCAGAGCAAACAAGAGTGCTGGTGTACGGGGCTGGCCCGGTGGCGTAGCGGTTAGGCGCACGCGCTCCGTTGCTGGTGGTCCGGGTTCGGATCTGGGCGCTCACCTACACACCGCTTATCAGGCCATGCTGTGGCAGCGTCCCATATAAAGTAGAGGAAGATCAGCACGGATGTTAGCTCAGGGCCAGTCTTCCTCAGCAAAAAGAGGAGGATTGGTGTGGATGTTAGCTCAGGGCTGATCTTCCTCACAAAAAAAAAAGAGAGTGCTGGTGTATTTCTTAAGCTAGTGTATCACTTAAGAAAATGTTACTTTTTGATACATTTCTGGCGCTGTTCCTTCCAGGAAAAGATTCCTAATTGGCTTTTTAAGGACTCTCCTGTTAAATTTTGTTGCTTGATTAACACAAAAATAATTTAGGACAATTGTCAGCTGGCATATTTATCCAGGATTCTGTCAGTATTCCTGGGGATAGGCTTAACTTGGAAAAGGTTTCTCATTCAGTTAATAATGGAAAGCTTCAACTCTTCATATGCAGTGACTGTAATAATCTGTCTTCACATTACACTGAATAAATGTTTCTGCCCCCAAAGAAATTTGAAGGACTATGAACATTTGGCAAATGTGCTTTCAAAAAGCATAAAGTATGTTCTTGGAAAAGCTAGCCTATGTATGGGTTAATTTGTGTTGGCTAAGAAGAGCACAGGGGAGCATGCTGTTTGCTAAAACAGTGGACTGTGGAATTACTTACACTCAGCCACTGGGTTTTCTGATATCTTTCTAGAAACATTTTAGCAAATAATATATTGCATTATGTTTGTATCCAAAACTCAAAGAACGTTTCCCCACTCTCTTTAACCTCTGGGTATTCAGAAACCTAACAGATTTTATTTTTTTTTAACGTTTTCCATGATGAGAGAGAACCACTCTGACATGCTAATCATCCTAGAAATCTGAGGTTCTTTCCACTAGCTGATTTTACATTAGAGTAAGGTAAATGGTACTTTTATTTGTATGTACCTTCTCCAGTTCCTTCTAACTAATACCAACTGAGAGGGGCAAAGAACTGGCAAAATAATAACTATGATGATAATATGCAACATTTATTTAGCACAGACCATCAACCTGGCACTGTGCCAGGGACTTGACATTGTTTTATTTATCCTCCTAGTATTTGCCCCATTTTCTGAAAGGAACCAGAAGCCTAAGATTGCACAGCTAGTAAGTAGTAGAGCCAGAACTTAGCCCCTATCTGACTCTAGCCAGAGCGCTTAATCACTACTTTAAATGGTCAAGAATAGTAGATGCAGGTACTGAGTAGGTTTGAAGGCCTTTCTTAATGTTGATATTTGAAATTGTCCTACCACTTATATAAAAGGCGAACCCAACTTTTGCTGTATTTAATTTTTAGGCTTTGGGGATATTATGTGATCTGTAATATATGCAAATCTTTTGACAAGTGGTCCATAGTTTAACAGGTATGACCATGTTATCAATCCACAACCCTTCCTATAAAATTCCTTTGTGCCAAATTTTCATTGTTTTCTTAATTACCAAACCATGTTACTAATGTTGTGTTTTGGTTTGTTTTACAGTGATCCTTTTCTGTATGGCTGCCCTAATATTTCCAATAGGATTTTACATCAATGAAGTCGGAGGTCAACCTTATAAATTACCCAACAACACAGTAGTTGGGTCATCATATGTACTTTTTGTCTTATCAATTTTCTTTACAATAGTAGGACTTCTATTTGCTGGCAAAGTTTGTTTACCAGGCTGATGAATGTCTAAATTGCTTGACTCTTTTATTATTTTTTATTTTATTTTATTTTTTTTATGTTTGGAGAGTGGGGAGGACAAAAGCAAGGCATCTGAGTAGTCCTCTCGTAGGAAGATGCTTAGATGAAACTGATGCTGAAAAGGAAAAAAATGCTTTGTTTTGTTCTCACTATGCACTTTGGATTTAAAAACAAAAAATGAGAGCCTTTTCCATAACCAAATACAGACAGTATTGACTAAATCTCCTGAGCATATTCAGGCAGTTAGGTCTGCACTGTGATAGCAACCTAGTGAAGGAGAATGCTTTATACTGAAAGCATGTGGCCCTTTGTGATTCTGTTGTTCCGTTTTTAATGTCTATGATTGATTTGAGGAAAAAAAAAGTCTAATTATTTATGAATCATGGTGGACCAGAGGGATGCAAGAGAAGTTCATGTGGGGCTGGCCTCACCTCCTAAGAAATTAGTGTTCACAGCTTCCTTGTAATGGTATGAGCCTTTGGCACCAGAATGGATTGCCATTGCATTACTGCACCAAGAAGCCAATAGATCAAAACTTGTTTGCTAAAATGTATGTAAAAATTCTGAAATTCCCTATTCTCTGTGTACAAAAAAAAAATTCAAACACTAAGAAACATGTTGTGGGTGGGTGGGGGAAATGTTCCTTATATTTATATAAATATATATATAATATATATATTTTGCTGATGCAGTATACAGTGTGTATATAGTGTGTGTGTGTATGTGTGTGTAAATTTATGTACACACACATGCAAACAGTTCCTGGAAGAGAACTCTGAATGCTTTGCTAGCAAAACACTGTGGTGTGCAAACCTAGAACTCAATAGAAAAAAAGCCATTTATCTGAAGGCTGCATAGTGGAGAGAGTCTTCAGTTTACCTCATTCTTTGTAGCAGCCCTTGATTTTAACAGGTTTTTGTAATAGGTACAAATAATCCCATACCTTTCTAGGTGCAATTTTAAGTTAAGCTAAAATTCTTTGTAGGGTTAATTTATTTGTATGTGATAGTGGAAGGTAAGATCATGTCAAACCTTATAATTTGGGGAATCTGACACTATTTAAATTATTGGCAACTGTTGTCTGTTGTACAGAGGTTCTGTTTTTCTACTGGCTTGGTCTGTTACATTAGTAACGCATTTTATATGTTCAAGCACACAACTTTACATAAATACAGAGTTCACTAGTAATATCAATTTACAATAGTTTGGCTATTTTCAACACTAACTTCACTCTGCTATAAAAATTAAATATATGTTCTTTTCATCTGCAAGCATTATTAATACATCTCCTTTACCAAAAACCTGAGCAATACAATATTTTCTTTATATGCTATATGCTTTAGTGTGCTAAAAGCTAACATTTTTGCATTTACTTTAAGGGGCTGTACTAAAACCACAGCTTTACATTTTTTCCTAAAAGAAGCATTGCAGCTAACCCTTGAAGCCACAGATAGTTTTAAAATACAGTATTTCTCTTCTCCACGTTTCCATGCCTTCATGTCAATGCTTAGTTGTTTCTCCAGGTGAACAATACAGATAATCTCCTGTTTGAAATGTGGGGCAGGAGGGTCTTTCATGGCAGTGGAACTAAGTTTTTCTTCTTTATAGTAAAATGGCAACCCAAATGTCGCTATCAAGTAGAGTTAGAGTCCCATGTAGTCCATGCTTCACACAGAAATGAATGCACTGTTTTTAAAAAGCTAGGTTATAAGTTATAGAATGATTACTTTGGAGATGGGGCTGCCTCCTCAGATATTCAAAGTATGAAATGGAGGCGCCTGATGTGTTTCACACTGGCTTGTTTGACATTCATATATTTTACTGTTAATTCAGCAGTATTTTATTGTGAGAGAAAACCCCAGTGTTTCAGCTCACTCAGGAGTCGAGGTAAGAGGTGGACCACCACTGTGGTGCATTCCTTGAGTGTGCTGGGGGAATGTCACACTTTTCCTTCCCAGGGTCAAAGAAACCTTTGGGGAATGCCTGAGGAAGGCTATTTTTCCCCAACTATTATGATGTCTAGTCAATTCTAAGAATACCACTGGGCGTGTTCTATGGACGTTTGGGATTGCAGTTCCCATTGTGATTTGATGGGTCCTCAGTCAGGTTGATCACTTTGAAGAAAAGCTTTGGTTGTCGCCATTATACCACTGAAATAAAGTGTTAGCAAAGTATGGTTCAAATTAATTTATGATATGACCAAGAGCTTTTCTCTTCCAAAAGATGAATTTTATTGTAAATAGTTTCTCAAAATATTTTTAACTGGATCATAAGCATGGGAAGAGAACGTTTCTCAGCTGCTAAGAATTTCCCCACTGTTTACTTCTTTCACTTACAGTGGTATTGCATATAAGATTACAAAATTTAAGGTTTTATTTGTATCTATTACCCAAACCATTAAATTGTCTTTAATTTCATCATTGTCTCGGAGGTCCAGTGCATAAAGGGCTGATAGGGGAAAACTCCCTCTAACCAGTCGGCACTCTAACCCAGGATTAAAACCGTCCCATCAAGTAGTATGTGAAGTTAAATCTTTGTACTCTTCCAGACCAAACATTCAAATGGACTTATTCATATAAAATTCTATAAATCCTGTAAGTGAAAAGATAGACAACTGTCAGCAGTTGCTTTTAAAAGGTCACTATAATAAGTACTATATAGTACAGTATTAATTTATAGCAGGAAATCATATCTTGTAAACTGTATATAAAACACTGTTTTATGGTGCAATCATTTGTCAAACTTTTGTCTGTTACATTGTTTTTAGAGTGTGTGCATTCTTCTCATACCTAAGAACATCACTGTAAAATCTGCTGAAAACTATTTATAGGTTTTATTTGCACAAGACTTAATTAGTTTGAAATTTTTGGAAGCTCCTATTGAACATGCCTAAACATCTGTAAACATGAAAAATCTTTAATTCATTAAAGCAAACATTTCAGTATGATTCTTTCCAAAGGTAATCCATGTTCTATGTTGTTAATGTGTGTATGTAATTTTTCTGACTCTTCTACTTCTTATAAACCTATTTTCTGTTCCATTTGTTTTGTTTTGAAGGATGGTTCTTTTTTTTTTTTTTCTTTTTGATGTTCTAGATGACCAAAACACTTCATTGGTTTTTACCCTTTTGCCTAAAGCTTTGATATCCCCACTTGATGTTCTATGAAGTCACTGTTTAATCTCTTAAGTAAAATAAAAAATAGTCCTGGTGACATACAATCTATTGATTTAGAGGAAAGGCCCTGAAAAAGTATTGGAAACTAACTTTGGATATACTCTTAGCTATTATTTTGCATCGTGGGCTTCATGGGAAGAACATGTTGCATTTATTTTGTCTTTATTAAAAGACTAATAACCACAAGTTACTCTGAGATTGTAGTAACTGTTTTATCAACCCACTTTGGTCTTCTTTTAAAAATTTACATTCACAATTCAAAACAGTAAGCTGTCTTTCAGAACTATTCTTGAAGGATGAAAATATATGAAGGAAAAAAGTGGCCTGTGTAGGTTGGATTCCCTGCACAGGACTTCTTAGTTGTATCACCTCAAGAGATTTTAAAGTTTGTGATCAAGGTCTGTATATTACCCCAAACTTTATTAAGAATTGTTTTCTAATTGGTTATAACATTTTTCAATTAATAGTTTCAAAACAAATTGTTAATACAAACTGTATAAAATGAACATAATTTTCTTCACTTGTATTTTTGTTATTGAGCAAGTTTATCAAAATAAATTGTCTACTAAAGAAACTAAAAAGGCTTCTATTACTTTGAAATAAGCTTTGATTTTAAAAATTTATTTCAAAAATTGATTTCTTACAGAGGTTTCACATATTCACACAGTGACACTTCCATGCCTCTTGGTTTGGTTTTGCTATTAGCATCATTCTGAGAGAAGGTCTCCCGGCTCTTCTTCCACTCCCCCTCCTAGCTCCCCGCTAGGGAAGAGATGCTATTAATATTCCAGAACATGGATTAGGCCATGTTTACCAATAAGAAGAGTCACTCAGCAATAAAAGACCACACACATGTGGCTCTGTCTTCTGCATCATGTTTGCAGTGGCTGGGAGAGAGATACTGAGCCAAGGCCCCCAAAGCCAACCATCTTTCTTCTCTTTCTTCCTTGCACAAAGGCCTAAGCCCATTCATCTTTGCTTCAGTCTTCTGTTTCTACTGCAGGCCAAAGGAACTTATCTTCTAAGATTCTAAAATTTGGGTTGAAGGAACAATATAGAGGCCCTTCTCTAGACTCATCCATATGCTCCATCACAGCTTTACTGTAGCTCTCTCGAGGGGTATCAGGATTAGCCCAGCCTAAAAACTCACGATCACATAAAACACTATTTTATCCTTTGCTGCTGGTTCTTTATATGGCCTCTTCAGGAGCCTCATGGGGAGTTGGGAGATTAAGACATGGTAGGATTTGGATGTTCTTGGATTCTGGATCTTAAGGGCATTTTAGGGTGACTAACCATCCCAGTTTGCCTGAGACTGAGGGGTTTCGTGGAACATGAGACTTTCAGTGCTATAACTGAGAAAGTTCCACGCAAACTGGGATGAGTTGATCACTCTGTCTTTACACCATCCAAATCTTACCCTGATTTGTAACACATATTAGAGGTATTTGAAGAGTTCTTTTCTATGAACATTAATGAATAGGTCAATTGGAAATTGTAACGGTAGACTTATACTGAACTTCTAAGAGAGGGAGGGAAAACAGTTTTTATTTCTCTTTGGTATTACCATAGGGAAAAGGCAACAGATTGGCTTTAAAAACAATAACATGGGTTAAAAAATACCTCTTTTTGACTTAATCTTCCATCAACTCTATTCTCACCACTGTGTGAGATGACAGGAAAAACACCAAGACTAGAGATCTGTGGGTTCCTCTTATGTAAAGTCAACTCTTGTGGGTCACAGTTACCCAGCAACAAATAAAAGTAGTTATTTATAAATGGTATTAAAGGTAGAAAGCATAATGCTGTATTATTTTTTAGAATTTTTCCCAGCAGAAGAAAACACTAGGATGATACTTGTAGGTACTTTCAAGGTTTCAACAAATCAGCCCCAGTTCCACAGACTAAGACTACCCAAGATTAAATTTCAAAGAGAAATTTTTCATGAGACTCATAAAATTTCAGAGCTGGATGAAATCTCAAAGAGCATGTCCAGTGTTTCCACTTTCCAGATGAAGAAATCAAGGGCTCAGAAAGGCTTGTTGACTTTCCCAAGGTCACACGACTAGGTCTCAGCGGAGCATTCAACATAGAAAAGAATGTCTTTGACAAATAGGCCTTAAACAGTTGTTGACCTAGAAGAATTCAAATTCTATAGCCATTTGAACCAGTCTTCCTTCATCTAATCTCTATCTTCTTCAATCCATCCAAATCATTTCTGCCACAATAAACTTAAACACAAAGCTTTTCATTTCCTTATTCGAGTTCCTGTCATTCCCACTGTCTACAAAACGAAGTCCAAACTTCTTGAACGTAGCATTGAAGACCCTTCATGATCTGGCTTCAGGCTTTCTCTTCAGTCTTATTTCCCACCACTCTCTTCACTTTTTACTGACAAACTAGCCTATTCATTCTTTCACTAC